CCCTGGCCGCGCTACGAACAAGTTCGTTTTCCCTCTCAGTGGAGATAATGTGATAATAGAAAGGGTCTGTGCCAGCCACACAAAATAAGAACTGAACACCAAAGTGTCATTCTGTCTACACTCTGTCCAATGGCATGTTTTTGCTTTGTTTTGTTTTTTGTTTTTGTTCATTTTCTTGTTTTTCTTTCTTTCTTTTGTCAGTTCCGACGTTATGTCTTCAATCTTGTCGATAAAAGAAGGGCCGGGCGATCGGAGGCGATAGAGGAGAGATTGTCTGTGTACAAACCGGAACGGGTATGTTTACCTTGGGGGAGGAGGGCCGGACAGTATAATATAAGACTGGCTGCTTGATGTTTGTGAAAATGGGAGGGGTTAGGGAAGGTTGGGGGTCCTTGCAGAGTGGCAAAACGCCTCTAGGTAAGGGGGAGGGGGCGAGAGTGAGAGAGACAAGAGATGGAGGGAGGGAGGGAGACAGAGAGAGAAGAGAGAGAGAGAGAGAGAGAGAGAGACAGACAGACAGAGACAGAGAGACAGAGACAGAGAGAGAGAGAGACAGAGAGAGAGACAGAGAGAGAAAGGGAGAGGGGGACAGATAGAGAGGGCAACAGACAGACAGACAGAGGAACTGACGGACGGACGGACGGACGCACAGACAGACAGACATTAATATGGGTATCTCTACATAATGAAACATAATTGATATCGGAAATGTGAGTCACTTCACGACACACTGAACAGCAGGCATTTATTCTAGGCTAGTCTGTGAAGGGCGTATACGTTTTCTAGCGTAAACAAAACTATCTGTTCCAAAACCAACTATGTGTTTCAAGTACTTAAATTCGTTCTGGACAATTTGCACCCATTTCCCTAGTGGCCAGAAAAATGCAGCTCAGCTCTGCTTTCAGTAACACAATCGATGCTATGCTCTAACTCTAAACCGAGTATTAGGTTTCGTGACCGTATTTTTCTAACAGGCAAAAATTACTCGTGATTAAAAAAATGAGAGAAAACAGTGTAAGTCAATCCCGCAGTACTTAATTACTAACACAGAGCGCGCGGACTGCTGACTCATCGTTTTTATTTTCACGACCGGTAGGCTTTCTTTTTCTTCTTTTTCGTTCTTAATGACAATAATGCGGTGGTAAACACAAACGGCGTAGTCCGTTTTAGATCCTTGAAGGTGTCATACACTTTTCTCTGTGCTGCACATTGACGCTGTCGTGAGCAATTCACTTAATAAGTCATTTTAAAAAAAATAGAACTTTCGATTACTAACCACCTCCCAAAGCTCTATCAATGATGCAACGTTCAAACATCACCACATTGCTGTTTGATGCAATGGCAAAGGCTTACAATTTTCTTGCTTTTCATTATTTCTGATAGGAACAACACAGCAAAAAAAACTATCTGAATTTTTTTAATGTCTGCTGTAAAAAGTACCCAAACGGACTTAAACGAATTGCTTGCAACACCGACGATATTGCCATGTCTGTGTTCTTTGCGCTACGAAGCGACTGCAGTGCTGCATGGCAATAATAATCATAATATGGTGGTTGTTTTCTGGGCCGTGACTACATTGACACAGGGGTGTGTATCCGACTTGAAATTTGAAATGAAAAATGAAAAAAAAAAATATGCTACTGAATAATAATAAATAGCATTTTTATAGCGCATATCCCCGCTCGACATGGATATATCTATGCGCTTTACACTATATTATTACCTTAGCAAACCCAAAAACATTCAGAAACACTTTCGGCTTCCCCGAAAGCACACACAAGTGCCTTCCCCCAAGGACACAACG